CTGAAAAGTGTTGTATAAATAAAGTTAATTATTGTTATTTTGGTAAGCAAAAATATGGAATGACTAAAAGCTAAATAGTCATAATAAGCAACAGCTGGTAGACACTACAGTAAAGAATCTGGCCATATGTGCTGCATAAGAGTAACAGTCCAAAGCTATGCTACCAGAGCTATGAGGCAGCACTGAGCAAAATACTGATGCAAGCATGGCAGCAAGCTCACAATGACAATGCTAGCATGCTAATGTTCCACAGGAACCACGTCCACCATCTTAGTTAAGAGTGTAAGCATGCTAAAATTTGTGGATTAGTATCATAAAGTTCAGTTGAGGCTGTTGGGAGTTTCCATAGTTTTACAGGTAAATAATTTGGTCATAAACCAAAGTATTGGACAAGTTAAGATTTTGACCTGATGATGGCAGTAGAGGTAATGTCAGGGGATCACCACCATGGGTTTACTGAAGTCAGTAGCATTCATAATCTGGAGTCCATAAATGTCTGCACAAAATTTCCCAGGTGTTCATCTACATAAGTACTGTAGCTATGGAGATATTGTGGTAAATTAGGATCAGATGTGAGCTAACTCTGGTCTGTACTGATTTTGAGTGTTGACTCTGTAGCTACTTTGGACTTGACAAGGTTTTGGTTCAGTGTCAGCCGGTATATGTTAAAGGAAGACTTCACCCACAAAATGATTATTTATACATCAGTTAATCACCCTGTCATATGTTGAAATTCATGAAGAAAATTGTATTTCTCGTGTCTCTTTGGTGAATGAGGAATTCAAAAAATGCCAACATTCTTCATGAATTGATGTGAACAGGGGCCATATTTAACAACAGCAAAACTATATCAAAACATCTGTTTACAAACTCTTACACAGCTCGTGCAGTGTAATCCAGTGCTTTGTCTCAAATTGCATACTCGTGTACTTACACTTAATAGTTTGAGTGCATAAATGCGTTCACACTCAGAAGTATGGAAAAATGCAGGGCACTATGAGTACCCGGATGGTGCACTCAAAACGGTCAAGAAGTGGAACTATGGACACTTCGCCATCTTGGCTACGTAGCGGAAGGGGAGGGACCACTTTTCAAACTGGAAATGGCGGCCGAGGACTGTGCGACCATGAAAGATTGGATTGGATTTACTTTAATAATCCCCAAGGGGAAACTGGATTGCCACCATGGCCAACATACAGTACAACAATAAGACATAGACAAAATATACATGTATAATAACGTCACCTAGGAGCGCAGTGGTCCAATACAACAATAGCAAAATGACCAGAAAAAATAAATAAAAAAGAAAAAAATAAAGATTATAAAGAATAAAAAGAGTACAAATGCAATTTAAAAGTACAATGTTCAAGGGCGAGTATAGCAGCAGGTTATAACAGCAAGAGAGTATAGCTGCAATTTAAAGTGCAATGTACAAGCAAATATAGCCGCAAGTTATAACAGCAAGAAGTGTCGCTGCAATCTAAAGTGCAATGTACATGGACGAGTATAGCAGCAAATTATAACAGCAAGAGAGTGTCGCTGCAATTTAAAGTGCAATGTTCAAGGGCGAGTATAGCAGTAAGACATGACAACAGCGATCCAAATTAAAAAGCCTGGTTGCTGCATTGTACAAATGCATGTGTTTTCACTAAGCACCACCATACTGTTGTCGGATATAAGCCAGCAGTATGTTTATTGGGTTAATTTAGCAGTCTGTAATGATTTGGTACCGCGAACAATAACGCGAATGCTAATGCTAGTTTGCTAACTAGCTAATTTGCGCTCATCATTTCCGGTAAGTGCACAACAGCCGTGTTTGGTTTGAGACAACACTACCCTGTCGAAATTTGCGCACTACTCCAGTAAGTACATAGTGCACATAGTATACTACATGGAAGTGTATTAAGGGAAGTATGTGATTTGAGACACAGAACAAGTCTAATTTATTCAGTGGTATGCAGTTTTGCTTATATTATACACGGCCTAATTTTTCTCCAATTTATCAAGAATTTTCTCCGTTTTTTTTGGGTTCTTCATTCACCATGGAGGCATGAGAGAAAAAGTTTTCTGTATGAATTCAAAGACACATGGATCATTTTGTGGGTGAAGTATTCCTTTAAAGGTAAACTATGCAGGATTGTTGGTTACTGTTTGTGAACATGCTCACCATAAAAAGTGAAAGTTAAAGCCAACAACAAATTCACTCTTGTTTAGTGTTTGGCGGCGCTACATTTGCTTTTTTCGGCGCTGTGTCTCTTGAATGCCTGCTGCTTACAGTCTGGCACTTGGTCACTTTCTTCTTGTAAAGCCTTGAACTCACCTGAGTGCTGTGGGGGCACACGCCATAAACATCACAATAAACACAGAAAATAGAAGAAAATAGGAAAATACAGGCAAATGGCAGAGTCTTTGCAAATAAATACACCGCCACACACTCGTGGGTCACAAGAGATGATTGAGAGGGATTACCTCTGTATGAGCCCATACATTGTTTTTCAGGAAAACTGTGCATAGTATAACTTTTAAGTTTCTGGCACTCAGTATGTTGTGAAAGGTTGCTTTAATCACCCTAACTAAAGAGAACACCAGACAGTAGTAGGGGTCAGAAAAGGTGCAGCACGCTGTTGTTAGCTGTCAGATCTTTGTCGCTTTGACTGATATTTGTAGCATCAACACTTGTCTTGGTTATTTTTTTACGTCATTTGCTTACTGAGGTGTTTTCAAACCTGAAATTATCTACTTCTACTTGCATCTTATTTTAAGATGCTGCTGCACTTGCAAGACTCAACAACTACATGTGTGCAGTGGTGGCTTTTGCTGTTTATTTTTACACAGGTACATTTCCCCTAAACTGAGTCTGCATATCTTCTCATCTTGATCATTTTACTGAACATTGCCTAAGGATATTTTCGTTGTCATGGCTATTCACTATTCACTTAACTGGGCCCTGGATTGGTCAATGTCTATGTGAAATTAATTGCTGTCTTCTTACTATAAAATGAGGTTTATTTTTTGTTTACATGGCCTTTGATGACCTGTCACGTGTTCTAAATGATAGAAAAATGTTAAAAAAGAAAACAAAAGTGTTTTGTTTTCTTTTTTAACAAAGAAGAAAACAAAAGTGTTCCTCATAGGACAGTATGACTGCTAGATAACGGAAAAAATAATAATCAGTTATTTCGTCATGCAGCTATTGACTGAAAAACAGGTTGGAGGTGAAATACACATACAGTAGCCTGGCTGAAGGTGAGTTTGGGCTTTCAGGGAGGGGCAAAAGGATGCCGCTGTAAAAGAAAGGAGTGTGCTGGATTATAACACAAGACGAAGCAAGAGCATCATTGCAAAACAGAATGGAGCACAATTCGTATTTTATTTCAGCTATCATGTTTTCATAATATTTGAAAGCCAAAACAGTGATTGAAAATGAAATTCGATTAGTCACCCAACCCTGTAGTACAATGAAATTAAAATGACCATGGAATAGAGCTGCATAATATGACATGTTTTTATCATCATCACAATGTCAACTCTGACTGTGATATTGCACTTAAGGCTTCATGCCTTCACACCAGTGACAGCCCTGGCCGGAGGCATTGTGTTTTCAGGTTGTCCGTCAGTCCGCACATCTTACTCTTGTGAAAGCAATATCTCCAGAACGTCTTGAGGGATACTTCAAAGTGAAACATCTACTTTGACTCAAGGATTAACTAATTAGATTGGCCTCTGTCTCAGTCTTGTGAATGCAGTATCTCAGGAAGGCCTTGAAGGAATTTAGACCCAAGGATGGACCTCACAAAATGAGTATTTGGCCATAACTCAAGAATTCATATGCTAATTATGACAACATTTTCCCAAAATGTCTTTAGAAAATAAAATAATGAAGTGATTACATGTCAACTTCACTGTTACATCATAATGTTCGATAAAGACACCTTTCTCACCATTACTCAACACCATAACTCAGGAACAGAAGAGGAGACATTTGGTCAGACTGAAATCGTGACACTAATCTTGAGTGTCCACTTTGAAACTGTGGTGACTGTATAGATCTTATGCGCTGTCGGGTTGAAGACGTGTCTGAAGCAGGCACGTTTAGGAATTTGTAGCTTCTTTTCAGCAACATCCATATTTGAAGCATTGTCTAGTGTCATGGCTACGTATGAGTCTGGACAAGACATGGATGTAAACTGTAACTGCAACTTCACTGGTCCGTGGAGGCACACAACCACAAGGTTCAGTTCCCATGTTTTTGTTGTTTTTATTTTAACAGTACACCAAAAGCTGCAGAAGGGCAGGACTATGTATACTTTAATATCTATTTGTCACAGGTAATATTATTATTGTGATGTTCAACATTGTTATCGCAAATGTTCCTCATATCGTGCAGCCCTATAATGGAAGATCTGGTGCAGTTTTTGGGTACGCTGATGAACCACTGAAAGCTGTTGCAGACAAGCTGAATTATGTTTTTTTTAAAGAACTGCTATAAAAGAATATCCCGAGGCATGCAACAAGCCCGGCATCAATAACTCTTTGTTTTACTGACCCTGAGGTGTCTGAAGACTGCAGCTCTTTAAAAAACAGATGTTTAGTTTAGAGTTACAGCAAAGAACATGTGTTTGGTTTAAGTACAATTTCAATTTCAACATCACAACATTTTAATAGAGGGACTTTCCTTTTATATACTCACTATATACAAAGTGAATGTGTTTAAAGACGAGTGGACAGAAGTGTTGCCAAAAAACACAATCTGCTCTGCCTTGGATGGACTTTGTTCCTGTTTCACTGTGCTGTAATCAACAAATAATAACAGAACACCATATTTTCTTCAAATAAAAGAAGCAGTTCAAGGTTGCACATATGCTTTCATCAAAGGGATAGTTCAGATGTTTTCAAGTGGGGTTGTATGAGGTACTTGTCCATAGTCAGTGTATTACATACAGTAGTTGTCAGTCGACATGCCCCCAGTTTGGAGAAGCAGGTGGGAGTATCACGATGGAAGCTAAGCAGTGTATTGCTGTGGATGGGGGCAGCAGCAAAACATAGTTTAGCCACCTGAAAAAAATCTAGTGTGAATGTATGCTATATAATATTTTCACTGCCTTACCTGGACATAGACAGCGCTTTGTGACAGGGAAGCCGTTAATGGCTTCAGTTCCCCATCTACGCTCTCATCAAAGCCACCAGACTTCATTGACAAAAACATTAATTTTAATTGCTGAACATGGGGGCTGCAGATCTACCACTGCCACAATCAGCTAGTTTATTTGCGTCATTGTGTGGCTTTTGTGAATTCAAACTATCCCTTTTAAACACCTAAGTCACACAACAACACAAACAAACTATCTGATCAAAGCAGCAGTAGACCAGCAGCTCCTGTGTTCAGCAATGTTAAATTACTGTTTTTGTCAATGGAGTGTGGCTTTGGAGAGAGCAGTATAACAGCTTCAGTTTCCTGTCAGAAAGGGCTGTCTGACTAAATATAGGGTACTTTTAAACTAATATTCTTTTTTTTTTTTAGGTGGCTAAAATACATTTTGCTGCTGACCCCTCCTCAGAAGTACATTGCTTTGCAGTACTGCCTGCTTCTCCAAACTGGGGGCATGTCGACTGCCATCTACTGTAGGTAATACACTAACTATGAATAAGGCCCTCATACAACCCCACCTAAGGAGACTTTCTTCAATAAAACCATTTCAATATTTTCTTCTCTGCTTTTGAAATTTATTATATGCAAATATAAAATATACAGCTTAATAATTGTGGGTCTGTGAAGATGTGAGTCCTGCTCATGTGAGTCTTGCAGATAAGTTTTCAAGGTCTTTGTTTATGAGCTTGCTTTCTTTACACAACTGAATCTTCTTCCTCTTGTCTCATTATTCCTCTGACCGGTGATACAAGTACGTCTCATCCAGCCCGTCTTCGTCGTAGCCGTGATAAGGCCCCCCCTCACTGCCTCCTCTCCCTCTGTCCTCAGGGCAGTGGATCCCCAGTCTCTTCTGCAGCTTCTCCTCCTGGTGGCGCAGCTCCATGGAGTCCACCAGGTCGTAGATGTTATCCAGGGACCACATGGGTGACGGGAACCACGCCTTGACATCGCTATCCTTCCCCACAACGAGCATGCTGAAGTAGTCCTTACTGATCTTCAGCTGTTCTCTCAGATTGTTGACCATGTCCCGGGATAACGGCTCCACCTCACTCTGACTACGCCCTGGAAGAAGAACGATCAGGTGAAAAGTAAGTTGTGCATTTTACAAAACACAAAAGACAACTTTGTATTTCAACTATAAATGTAAAAATGTTAAACATATTAGCGTATTAGCATCACAGTCCCATGTACCTGGACTGCCCCACATGACTGTGACTCACCATTTAGGGGAAAGAGTTCAACAGTTCCTGATGCTTTGTCTCCAGTTCCAGTCAGCTTCAACATGGCAAAGTGGCGAATACCTGATGAAAAGGCCCAAAATGTTAGGTCAATATAGGTTTTATATAAATAGCTGAGTCAAGGTTACATTTCCATATTGCACCACAAACCTACAGAGCAGACATACAGTGTATTGTTCAGTAGATGTGAGCATGGTGTGTTACTGACCCAGGTGACACTCCTGTCCGCTGAGAGCAGAGAGCTGCTGCTGGAAGAAGTAGTCGTCCTTAGATGGAGCGGAGATGAGCAGCAGTCTCCTCTTAGACATGAACCTAAACATCCATTACAATGGTGATATAAGTTTGAATGTTGTAGTATACATCAGTCAACCTCATTCATTCAGTCAAGATGTGTTGAGACATAGGTTGTGTAGTAATGTCAGACTATAAATAGATAAACTCACCCTCAATATCAGTTTTTAAGCAAACAGTATTATTGTTATTGTTTAATCAATATTAAGAAACAAATAATGATTATGAAATATCAGTGCATGTTAAATGGTCTTCAATATGATTTCTAAAGAGGCTCCAGATGCTGTTTGTCTTTATATAGTATTAGGTAATAATAAGCACTGAATCACAGCATAGTACCTGAGCAGTGAATTCTCAGCTCCAGGATTTTGCCTGCCATTGGAGCAGGACAGAGGACTCCTCCTTTCCTTCTCTTTTTCTGAGCGCCTTGAGGGAAAGTTGTCAATGTACTCGAACAGAGCAGGACCTGATGGAGGAGCCTCAAAGACTCTCTAGGAGAAAGAGAAAAGCTAATTATAGGGGGAAAAACAAAGTTTAGAGTCTAGTCTTATTAAGTCTGTTTGTATTACATTCCTTTCCTGGTTCCTGACAACAACAACAACAACAACAACAACAACAACACAGCTATAACACAGCTTGATTTTAAAACATTGGGATTTTGTAAATCTCTTACTACACAAATAAATCTCTTTTAGATTTTAACAAATAAATGAATGGCTTGCACTAGCTTTGCCACACAAGTCTGAAAGAAATGTTGCCTGTTTGGCTCGTGCGCTGACCTACAAAGTCTTGGCAGACGAGGTGAATATTGTTCTCATTAATGTGAGCAGCTGTGAAGCAGACTGCTGGCAGGTGTGATCAGGAGTAAGACAAGTGCTGAAACAAGTATGCACGCCTATCAAACCTCCAAAAAGACAGAAGAAAGTGCAAGAGGAGATTGTCTTACACTGGGCTTAATGTCGTAGTCTGTGACAGTCATGGAAAAGAGGTCAGGGGACGACAGGCCGAGCTCTGCTCTCAACAGAGAGATCAGGCCTGAATCTGAGAAACGATCCGATTGGTCACTGAGTGGAGGCTCCGACTCTGAAACACACAAAACATTTGAATGAATGATGTGAAGGGAGTAGACAAAATACCGGGGATACCATAATGCAGATACTCAACTTATGGTACGTGGCCCACATCTGGCTTGCAATTGGGAGCTAGGTGGCCTGCTGACCATTTTCTAATTCACAATGTAAATAAATTGATTCAAATTGTTTTTTGTTTTGTTTTGTTATTGTACTTAGATTAGAACTAAGATGCTAGAGTGCTTAAAAAAGCATTAAAATAGAGCTTGTTTATCAAAAACCCTCTACAAAAGTCTGGGCTAAGCCCCACAATGTCCTCAAATGGAAGTCAAACATACCCACAGCCTGTAAACACACCACAGCTCAATAACAAATGTTGGCAGCACAATCAAAGAGCAGTCTGCAGCTGAATTTTTTTGGGAAGTAAACTGAAGTAAAGAGGATGAAACTTGAAAAAACAACCACCAGTATGATTCTTGTTACAGCGAATGCAAGCATGAAGAAATATACAGTTTCAGGCCATTACTGTACAGGGAATTACACCTTTGCTGCTTTACCTATGGAAGCACCGTATTTGCCTTTGGTCACGCCTTAGTGGAAAATACAGCATGTTCCTTTTTTGGCTAGGAATATTCCGTAGTAGTAGTTGTATATGTAAAAAAAAAAAAAAAAAAATAGATAATACATGCACAAGATTTTCCAATTACTTGAATCACCCATAGAGAGAGCCTAAGCAAATGTTTTAGATGCAAATGTTCAAACAAAAAACATCATTCACACACAGAAATGTACCTACCGAGCTGGTGGTGTTGCAGCGTGAGCGAGGCGTGACTTCCTTCACCCACAATGGTTGCCACAGTGATCTTCCTAATTGCAAGGTCACAGTGTTGCTTGTCGTTGTCGTCCCTCTGCTGGATGTACAGTGTTGCATCTCTGCTGGGCGTTGCGATCAACTAGAATCAGTATCAACACACAAACAGATACATCATTATAAATGGATGATTATGATGATACTAATCAGGTGCATGTATCTCTAAAAAGTCTAATGTTTAGCATGCATTTACATCAGGATTAGATGCCAAAAGAGAAAGATCTCACCATTAACCTTCTTTTGCCCTTTAAACTGTCCAAAAACTCCTTCAGGGCTGCTTTATCCTTCTCGCTGGCCTCTCTGTTGGACTTTTTCCCTCTTCCTTTCCCTTTCTTCCCTTTCTTCCCTTTACCCTTTCTCTTGGAGCTCTGCTTTTCCTGTGTGTTATCCTTTACATTCTGCTCTTTTTTATCTTCTCTGTTTTTCTCTCCATGTCTTCTCTTCCCTTCTTCCACAGCGGGGTCAGGCCTGCAGTAGAATAGAAAAAAAAAATACTTTGATGTTCATCCAGCTCTGAAAAAACCCACTTCTGTCTGGTGTAAGGGGATGAGGAGGCATGACAGACCAGATGTGAACACAAATCCAAGTAGAATTTAAGTGAAATCAAACATCCACACTCTTACATCTGCTACGCTTTAAAAATAGACAAAAAAATAAAAAGACAGCACCTGACTTTCTTTACTTCTTCATTGCTCTTTGACACAGGTGGAGCAGGTGAAGGGCTGTGCACTTTTTCTTGTCCGTTAGAAGTGGCCCGACTACCACTGCTCAAGTCCTTTCCCTTCGTGGACCCCACTGTAGGCACCTTACGGATAACAAACCTTGACCGTCCACTCAGTATGTCCTGGATCTTACTCTTCAGGGCAGCTTTTTTGTCCAGAGGAGGTTTTCTTTGTATTGCCATAATTGAAGTTACATTCCCTCGCCTCTGAGGGCTCAGTACGATCTTCTTCTTCGTCATTTTCCTTTTCATCACAACCTTTTTTTTAGAGGTTCTGCACCTGTATAGAAAACAGCATCAAACAGCATTTCGTCAGTGAGGATTAGTGTAGGTTTTTCTTCAAAACTTTAACCAAAATTACATTAAAAAAGACAGATAAAATTGTACTGCATGATCACTTGAACAACACACATCGACATCTTGCACGACAAATGTGACACATTCTTTCCATCTGTGAATCAACAACTCAAGACAAGTGACAAACTGAAGAGGAATTATCCCAGATTTTCCAAACTTACATCAAAAAGCACCACTTTAAATTTAAAGTGGACTGAATGAACTTATAAAATTCTCCCTAGGTTCTTGATTAGTACATTGAATGACACAGACCCACTTTACACCTTGTATTTAAGTGCAGTTTGGGTTAAGGGATTTTAGTGGGATAGTGCTTGACCACATGAAAATAAAGGTGTAAACGCACCCAAAACGCATTGATCCGATCAGTTAAACCACCTCCAGAGGTTGTTAGGGATGCATTGTGACCACATTGAATCCAAGTGTAAACGCAGTTGGGTTTTCAATCAACATACAATCAGCGGGCGAGAATACGTTCCAAATCAGCAAGGCAGCAGCAGCTCTGTTGAACCTGCGGGGGCGCACTGTGGTCTCTTTCTTGTCTGATTCTAACAGTACTGCGGTGTCCCCCTTATCTGTAATGTATTTCTTCTGTCACTGCCTTTACAATCAGGAGGACCTTAATTTGCGTGGACGACTGGTTTGGATGTATACAGTACAGGCCAAAAGTTTGGACACACCTTCTCATTCAATGCGTTTTCTTTATTTTCATGACTATTTACATTGTAGATTCTCACTGAAGGCATCAAAACTATGAATGAACACATGTGGAGTTATGTACTTAACAAAAAAAGGTGAAATAACTGAAAACATGTTTTATATTCTAGTTTCTTCAAAATAGCCACCCTTTGCTCTGATTACTGCTTTGCACACTCTTGGCATTCTCTCGATGAGCTTCAAGAGGTAGTCACCTGAAATGGTTTCCACTTCACAGGTGTGCCTTATCAGGGTTAATTAGTGGAATTTCTTGCTTTATCAATGGGGTTGGGACCATCAGTTGTGTTGTGCAGAAGTCAGGTTAATACACAGCCGACAGCCCTATTGGACAACTGTTAAAATTCATATTATGGCAAGAACCAATCAGCTAACTAAAGAAAAACCAGTGGCCATCATTACTTTAAGAAATGAAGGTCAGTCAGTCCGGAAAATTGCAAAAACTTTAAATGTGTCCCCAAGTGGAGTCGCAAAAACCATCAAGCGCTACAACGAAACTGGCACACATGAGGACCGACCCAGGAAAGGAAGACCAAGAGTCACCTCTGCTTCTGAGGATAAGTTCATTCGAGTCACCAGCCTCAGAAATCGCAAGTTAACAGCAGCTCAGATCAGAGACCAGATTAATGCCACACAGAGTTCTAGCAGCAGACCCATCTCTAGAACAACTGTTAAGAGGAGACTGCGCGAATCAGGCCTTCATGGTCAAATAGCTGCTAGGAAACCACTGCTAAGGAGAGGCAACAAGCAGAAGAGATTTGTTTGGGCCAAGAAACACAAGGAATGGACATTAGACCAGTGGAAATCTGTGCTTTGGTCTGATGAGTCCAAATTTGAGATCTTTGGTTCCAACCGCCGTGTCTTTGTGAGACGCAGAAAAGGTGAACGGATGGATTCCACATGCCTGGTTCCCACTGTGAAGCATGGAGGAGGAGGAGGTGTGATGGTGTGGGGGTGTTTTGCTGGTGACACTGTTGGGGATTTATTCAAAATTGAAGGCACACTGAACCAGCATGGCTACCACAGCATCCTGCAGCGACATGCCATCCCATCTGGTTTGCGTTTAGTTGGACCATCATTTATTTTTCAACAGGACAATGACCCCAAACACACCTCCAGGCTGTGTAAGGGCTATTTGACCAAGAAGGAGAGTGATGGAGTGCTGCGGCAGATGACCTGGCCTCCACAGTCACCGGACCTGAACCCAATCGAGATGGTTTGGGGTGAGCTGGACCGCAGAGTGAAGGCAAAGGGGCCAACAAGTGCTAAACACCTCTGGGAACTCCTTCAAGACTGTTGGAAACCATTTCAGGTGACTACCTCTTGAAGCTCATGGAGAGAATGCCAAGAGTGTGCAAAGCAGTAATCAGAGCAAAGGGTGGCTATTTTGAAGAAACTAGAATATAAAACATGTTTTCAGTTATTTCACCTTTTTTTGTTAAGTACATAACTCCACATGTGTTCATTCATAGTTTTGATGCCTTCAGTGAGAATCTACAATGTAAATAGTCATGAAAATAAAGAAAACGCATTGAATGAGAAGGTGTGTCCAAATTTTTGGCCTGTACTGTATAACAAACAAAACTAGGGACCAGCAAAACTCTTTTTTAAATGTTTATTTCTATGCTAATATTGTCTCTGAAAAGGCAGACAATATCATGATTTGTTGCCTATGTAATTGTATTTTTTTTAAAAAATAATGACAATAATTTTAAAAAGGTTTCTTATCATAAAGCATGTTGACAGGCAGGGGCGGGGCATGTTTGGACTGCAGAGCCCCTCTTGCATCACGGGGGTTGTGGAAGTTACATGCCAAGACGACACTTGCTTTCAATTTGGTCTGACAAAAGTATACAAGCAAGACTTGGCAATTCATATTGCAACCAAGCAATTAGGAAGTAATGGCTAAGGAAATGGTGAAGAAGGCTACCATAGGTCCTGCACAGAGTAATCGGGTCTCAATTGGATCTCACGCATTTTAATGCAAGGTTTAAAGGGGGTCACAACAGTGGTATTACAACCTCAAGTTGGATCCTTTTCTGGTCATTTTCTCCAGCTTCCTCACGGGGAACTGATCAATGAGCTCCAAAATCGCCTCTACACGAACCGGATACGGGAAGCGTTCGCTGACCCGAAGGTTTTTCTTCATAACCAGCATGGTGAACCCTTCCTCCTGAAACAATTGGTGTGATTTAAATACTACAAGTCAAGCAGAAGTGCCCACAAAGGAGAAATCGGTAGTTTCAGAAAAAATTGAATTTAAAGAAACAAATAAAATGGGCTGTAACTTGTTGTCAAGAGACTGTCTGATCACCTGGCCGGTTAGCTCCAGGTAGTGCAGCAGTTTGCTAACTGTGTCAGAGTCCAGGCTCTCTACTGTGGCCTCTCCTTGGAAAGTTGTTTTCTGGACTCGACCTTCCATCATTGCGTTCTGGATGATGGTGATGATGAATGTGTCTCTTTCTGCGAGACGGCAATTTAACCCTTTCTGTGAGAGACAGGAAGTGACACAAAGAGGCAAGACAGTTAGAGAGATTGAAAGGAGGGAAATTGCTCTGTAATGTTTTCCCAAATTAAATGTCCAAAGGGTGCATCATAAAAAAGTACAGTACCTGCTCCATGTCTTCCAGCTGTTTTTCCATCATACGAAGGTAGTTGTCATTGTGTGATGGGGCTGTTATCACCCACAGTCGCTTTTTACCTGGAAGGGAGGGTGGAGGGTGAGTGGAGGTACTGTAAGTTGGTAAATAGATGAGTAGATGCATCAGCTGATCAGTTCTTTTTGTCTTACCTGCAAAGTCAGCCAGGAAATCCAGCTCTGGAGCCAGGCTCAATGATGACTCTACGACTCGTCTGTTGTCTACATGTTCTTCCTCCAACCCCAACCCCTGCTCGATCCCTGGAGGGAGGTCTGAATAGTCTCCCCAGTCCCTCACATTAGGGTCCAGCTGATCCTTGGGCTTGCTGCGACCGATGCCTGGCCAGGCAGTAAGCAAACTTGGGTAGCTGAGGCTCCACAGAGCTGCAAACAACAGCAGGGGCCAGTGTGACTTATAGGAATGAAACATTTTCACTGACATGGTTGAGTGTTTAGTTTGCTGATCAGCTGGAACTGGTTAGCAGCTCACAAATCCGCCTTTGGTTACATAATACATTTGTGCAAGATCATCAGCAGTACTGTTGCATCTGAAACAGACGAGGTGGATTCGCCAGCTGTTTAAAAGTTACTTAAAAGTTTAAATGCTCAACATCGTCAGTCACCAAACTGAGAAAATTCCCATATGTTGATCCAAAATGAAAACGGCATTAAAGGCTGAAGAAGTCTTTAAAAAAACGGGTCGACCAAATCTGAATCCGAATCTCAGCGGTAGAATGACAGCAAAGACTGCAGTGATGTTAACCCCTCTTACCAGCAGAGAGACTGACCGAGGAGACTTCCCTCTTCTTGCACACACACACACACACACACACACACACACACACACATACACACACACACACACACACACTCTCCTGGTTCAGATTATACCCCAGGATCGTTAACAGGAAACTCCTGGAATTTTCTGGGACTTCAAAGCATTTTATTGCTGAAAAATCTTTTTTCCCCTGTTTCTCTCTCTTTGCATCTGCCGCTCTCTTACACACACACACACACACACACACACGGTGTATGTGTGTGGTGCTGCTTTGTACCACAGCTGACTGGTTTGGTGTCCATTATTAATAAAAAAACGATTTCTCACATGCAAAAACCACACAGCTTTTAGTAGAATAGCTGGTGTGAGAAAGCAAATGTCCCGCTGAGTATTTGATCAAGAAGTTACTAAATGCCTAGCTGTATCAGGGATGCTGCTGTGATCCTGACCTCCCTCTGGAGTAGGACAGTATCCCTGCAAGGATAAAATTACTTGCATTATTACACCAGGTGCAGATTGATTGTATTTGACAGTTTTGTATTTTCACATCTGTCGCTATCCATCAGAGACAAGCACAAACCTGACCTACTGCAGGCTGCCTCACAGAAAAAGAAATACTGAGTGTTGACAGACTGAGGGAGTAAAAGTGGGAGATCAGAGTTGGAGTGGTTCATCTTAAAGCCATTTGTTCAACAGGAGTAAAAGCTTTTAAATGAAGGTATATACCTGCAACCATAAATAACCCAGACAGGCTGATGGACGTTGGAGTCAAAAGTTCACGCCAGTTCAAAGTGTTAAATCGAGGAAAATGTGCCCTAAGGCAGGTTAACCCTGAAGACTTTCTGCCCTCCCACTATGCGCCTCATAAAGGCTTCACCAGCTAAAACCAAAGCATGAAACTAGTCATCCCTTTAACACTAGATGCCCAAAATGTAGGGCTTTCTAGGTCTGCAAAAGATAAAGTGATTATGGTGTAAAATAAAAGTAAACATACACAAATAATGTAGCATATTTACATTGTATTCAGTGGCTCAAATAAACATATAGGAAGGGGAATATCGTTGGGATCATACATCTTTACAACCTTTTTGATGTGAGACCAGGATCAGTCACCATAAGTCCAGAAATTTAGAAGGAAATTGATATACAACAATCCAACATCAGTCAATAGACATTTAACAGTTGAACAGCGTCTCCATTCTGTCCTTGATTTTCAGAATAAAAAAAAAAAAGGATAACACATATGGCCTGAAAGAGAAAGAGTGGACAGTTTTCAGAATAAAAGATGGATATGCAACTAGTGACATGTTAGAAACACATGCATCTACTAAACAGAGCGACACTTTGAAATGACTGAAAACAGTGACGAGTTACAAACAGCAGTGTTCCTCCACCTGCTCCTTGAGCCCAAAATAAACACATGTTGGTTTAGCTTACAGTTTTAATGTCACTCAGGAAGAAGAATAAATGAAGAGAGAATAAGGGGAAACAAAGAAAACCAAAGACGTTCAAGCAAAGCCAACGCAATTAGAAAAACCGTCTTTTGGGTGAAACTCTGAAATGAGAACCAGGCGCAGCAACAATGCATTCCACTCTCTGAGCCTTATAAAGAGAACCAGATGACCAGTGTATGTGTGAGAGAGAGTATATATACTGTATACAGGACATATATCATGCTGTAAGTCAAGGGATGTTCTGGTGCAAAGGGAGTAGATAAATAAAGAAGCTATTGCTCCTGTTGCTTGAATAAGTGTCAACACAGGTTCTGTCTCAATGCTAGCTTTAGTAAAGATTTGCAGTTAAAAGAAGGCAAACGACCTTTAGATGCAATTTGTCCCTCAAGCACAGAATTTATTGCACATTGGCGCTGCAATGTGCATATGCTGTCAGCAAACACATCATAGTGTGATGGTGCTAGAGAGGAAAGAACAGGCTCCACGTCACTGACCTTATATCTTATTTCCTTATGTACCATGGAAGTCATTAAGCATCCAGACACATGCTGTCCAAAGTCTAAAACGTCATTGATAATTCTACGTTATTAATGATTACTGTAATTAGTTTATCAGACCAGGTTATCTGTGTCTCATTTTCAGAAGCAATGTTACAAAAATTAGACAGAAGGCAAAGGAAATTAATTCACACGACATATGTAATATAGTAAAAGAGAGAGAGAAATGGAAAAAAAACACCTCTTCCTCTTCCTTGCACCACGTGTTTGAACTGTACCACTGCTTATAGTGTGAAAGGATGTGATTAGTGCATGAAGAGGGCTGGAGGGGGGCAACCAAAGTTCAACTAAGGGTAAATTCCTGGACTATAGGCAGTTTATAGTATTATTTTAATCCTTTCTGTGTTTTTGCAAAGCAAAAAGAGATACTGCATTTCTCAAGACAAAACTTTAGTAACATTAGAGATTTGTTTTTACTTAAAATACTGCTACATATATGAAAGTATCCCATCCGTTCGGATATCCTATAAGCCTACATCTGTTTGTCATGATGCTCTGCTTTAGATTAATGTACAACCCCAACTGATTCAAAGCCCTCTTTGCAGTGACCTCACACCACAATTCCAATGATTAAATATGTGAAAAAAATGGATTTCATACTGTGGTGTATGATTATCTCCACAATCTTACAACGAGGGCCAGGTGTTCAGAAGGGGAATCAGGGTGGCGCTGCCATGTAAAGTGAAGATGCATACATATTTTAGATAGCACATTTAGTATAAGAGATACGAATCGCACCATGACACCGAAAAGCAGCTAACAATTATATTTAGAACATACCACAGTACACAGAAAGGAATACATCATGGTCACATTATAACAGGAAGTCACACCTACTCTAAAAATACAGGTGAAAGGGGGCACTCATGATACTTAAAACATGTTTTAAGATAGTGTACAATTTTGGTGAACAAAGCTACTTAAAAGTAGATTTACAATTACCTTGTTACTGTGACTGTACCTATTTAAAAAATACGCAGACATCAAGTGTCCAGCTAACAAGCTTTTAGGCACAACCCTCCCTCCAAGATGGACAGAAATGTTAAAAGAAATTGCCCGTTGTATGCTATGTGTAGGCCTATCAGTAGATGTACTTCTTTTGAAATGCCTGAACATAATATTGCAGTGGGAAAATGTATTTCCAGAAATGATGTAATCAAACATGTTGGTACTTGTATCTGTAAGCCTGGGTTACCGACTAGGCAAAATTAGCAACTTCCCTTTGCCCTAGTGCCTCAGCGGCCTCTAAAGTCCCATCCTCACTATGTGTCAACTGGTTTGTGCTAATTTAACTGAGAATTTTGTTTTGCATTGAAGCACAACATCAACTGAAATGAAAATGGCTTTAAAGAGGAACTACACCTATTTTCAAAATTCATGTGTTATTCCTATGGTCTAAGAGAGTCCAAAAATATCAGTAAAATGAACAATTCTCCCAAATCCAAAAACTAAAAGTAGAGAATGAATTGGGAAAGATGTTTGTGATGACACTGAGAGCACCCGAGGGATGTTTCAGAACTGAGAACACAACAACAGAATAAAGCTCATTTGGATATAAAAAAAAAAGAAAACAGATGTTCTGTTGGTCCACAAAATCAGGCTTGTACTCACTGTCTATGCAGCAGCTCCAGACCCTATAACAGGGATCAGCAACCTTTACTATCCAAGGAGCCATTTTTGGCCAAAGAAGCTCTCAAATAATCTGCCTGGAGTCGCAAAACATATTTGAGCCTTATACTGAGGGTAACAGAAAGACTAAATTCACCCATCAACATTGCTAATAGGTCTAAAATAGCATTTATTAATATGTTTTCTCTGCAGTGGCTATTTATGATCGTTTGGTATTTTAACTTTGTAGGGTTGGCAGTAAGAGCAAACTAATATGTCCACACTGTTAAATTCTCTATTGTCCTCCAAGACTTTAAAAAAAAAAAAAAAAAAAAAAAATCTGGAATCCATAGCTAGCTTAGCCAGGGAGATCCAAGACAAGCCACTGCTATTGAGGTTTGGCAAAATTTAAAGGAAAATGTGATAGGCCATATGATGCACACGTAGTTGATGGAATGTAAAAACATTTTTTATTCTGTGTATAGGCTACACATTTCTACAACTGAGACTGTAAGAGTCACTCAAGACTATCTTTTTTTTGCCAAAGGCACAGGTTGCCTACCCCTGCTCTGTTACATCACAACTTTGAGATTTACTTCTGTGGTTTCTGGCTTCAACAGAGAGCAGCTTATGCTCACAAATAGTAACTGAACTTTTCTCGGTCACGGGAATAGCGTACTAGATTTCTTGATTTAGGTGGTGTTCCCTTTTAAGGTGGTTCCTGCTCTATTCCAACACCAAGAGGCCCAGTTGATCTGTACAGGCTGTATCCCACCTTATGCCCAGTGTGAACCGGTATAGGCTCCAGTACCCTGTAAGTCTGCCAAGGATAAGACAGTACAGACGATGGATGGATGGATGGATGGATAGATGCTCACTTATTGGGATTATTCAGGCACGTACAACATATGTGTAGGCATATTCAGATGTAGGTCCATGTGCAGGTACATTTTTTAATGTTGAGTTCATCAGAAATAAGGCATTTAAAAGCCATAGGGGTGACAGAGTGTCTAAGTTGGAGGTCTTTTGCAGATTATTCCATGTATAAGGTGCACTGTAAGAGAGTGACATTCTTCCTACTTCAGTTCTGATTAAGGAAATGTGAAGCAACAACCTGTTCTGTGAGTGAGCACAAGGGTTATGTGAAGTCAGATTTAAAAGGGTTGACATATAGGGTGGAAGCATCTGCATCAAAGCTTTATAAATGAACAGATACCAATGCTGTTCCTGCTGCACAGCCAAATGTGGCCAGCCAACCTTTCAGTAAAGGTGGCAGTGATAGGTGCTGTACGAGTGGTAGACAACATCCAGAGATTTCAGTATAGAGGCAGCAGCTTTTCCATGTAGAACATCGCCATAATCCACAACAGACAAAATTCTACAATTCTTTATACAAAAGGAAAACAGTTATTTCTGTACAGAAAGCCAAGTATTGTTCTCAATTTGGCAGTCAGAATGTCAACGTGGTGCTTACAACTAAGATTGTCGTCCAGCCAGATGCCAAGATGAACATGTGTTGTTGGACTCTATGGATGTGCCATTTGCAGAATAAATATTGAAAGATACAGTATGAGTAGCCTTGGTGAACAGCATCCAGTTGTTTTTTTATGAGATTAGTACTAACTTATAGTTATGTAATTGAAATTGAAATTGGAGTTTAAGTTTAACAGTGCAATGGTAGTTTTTAAATGGTAAAACAGCGCCTCTCAGTGGAAATATACAGAGTTGCAGCTTCAGTAAGTTTTGGGACGCCATTTCTGATAAAGTAGAAAACACGTGGGCTCTTTATCAGTTTCTTCAGCACTGTATTTATATTTGCATGGTTTGTGTATTTAGTAATGTAGGCCTACACGTGCATAGTGGCTACAACACAGAGATTTGAACAAAGCATGTGCCTTAATTAAGCCTTAACTAATAATGTTAGGGATTATAATAAAAAATATTAATATTAATATATTCATATTTCTGTCAATTATTAATATGTCAAGTTAACTGTTACTAAAAGATATATATATATGTTGGTGATGTGTTTATAATGGCTCGTCAGTGACAGTGACAGCATATCAAAAGTCATCGGATATCCTCTGATGCTGCTCATATGGTCCAATAACACACCGGCCTCTCTCAGCAGACATCTTCCGGGTCGACAGAGAGTTCGCCTGTGCCGCACAGAGCACAGAGGACTATTTGCAAAGGTCAGTCGACTTGTGTGCTGATAACCTTCCCACTCTCACTTTTCACCGTGCATTTGTTTCGGTTTGCATGTCATTGCGTGTGTGGGGAGCTTTTTGACTCATACATCGCCCCGGTGCACGAGACAGATGTGTATTAGCTACCAGCTAAAGCGCGAGCTAGCTCATGTTAGCTTTCATCCCCGGCTAGATTTGCAGACAAAAAAGAGAAGTGGCAGGATGCAGCTGGCTGCAAAATAATTATGTGAAATCCATTAGTTTGTACGCTGTAAGTTGTCTGGATAAGACAATTGTGAGCGCGAGTTGTGATGTGGCAGTCGGGGATTTCAACGGTTTTATTGGTGCCTTTATGGGTCATAAACGTTAAAAGATGCCGTTAGCCAGAGGTTTATGAGAGCCCCTCCACTCCTGACCCGGGTTTAATCCGGTACATACAGGACAAAGATGCAAACGTTTGCTATATGATGCCGTGTTCATCTCCGTTCAATGAACTAACGTTATGTTGTTTACAGAATGTCAACTGAAACTGTATGAGTCATATCTTATAACCGCGATGTTTTTTTGCTGACGTGGTGGTTTCAGTTTTTCTGACATTAAACAAGAGTCCTGAACTCATCACACCCAGCCTGCACTGTGTGAGGAATCAATGATGTCTGCTCTGCTTCAGGCTTGGGGTTTAAATAGTATCTCTTTCATATCGTATATGCTCATATCAGTTATCAAAATAATCTATTCTCAGATCAGATTATCAAGTGGAAAGATTTGCTGCTTTTCTTTGATGGTAACTTTAAAATATTTTGGTTTTGGATTGTTAGTAGGACAAAACGTAAAACGTAATTTTACCGTGTCAACCCCACAGACTAAATGACTGATAGACAAAGCAGAATAGTAATTGACAACCTGCTTTCAAACAACAGACCAGACCCACTGCATGGTTTGATGTGCGTATGCTTTGCACTTGAATTATAAAACATTGATTAGATGATGATATATTGATCCTTTGACTCAGCTGCATTTAAGTCTACCATTAAGGTCAGTTCTCCTGCCAAGGCTTCACAGGCTGCGTAAGGGACACAGTTGATTCACATAGATTATTATAGTGAACCTAAGATTTTATTACAACTTTGTGCTAATTTGCAAAGTCGTAAATGCCTTCTGGGACTGCAGCTGACAGTTACTATTATTATTATTTGTTTGAATCATCAATGGATTAGACTTTGTGCAACTACTCGATTGACTATTTAGTTATTAAAGTGTCAGAAAATAGTGCAAAATGGTCAAGTTTCTAACAGACTAGCTATTTAACCCAGATATTAAATTTCCAACTGTAAAGAAAAGCAGCAAATTTTTATATTACAGAAGCTGTAACTAGTAAATGACACAAATATGTCCTTGATAAATGACTGAAATGAGTAATTGATTAGAAAAAGTTGTTACACTACATTTTCAGTTAATTGACAAATCATTCCCACTCCACTTTCAGCACTAATGTGTCGTGGTGTTGATTGGTTTCACTTCTAGTTTGGGTTTCCCTCTCAAATCAATAGTCTGTTTTTGACCTTTTAACTAAATCGGTCTCTTTACTTTGTGCGCTCTGTGGAATTTATTGCCAGTCTATTCTAGTTTAAACCCTTCTACACCAGACTAGCTCTCCCAGTCTATCCCAGTTCCATTATCTCCCTTTAAAGTAAACATGCTGTCCCTCATGCTGTTTCCTGCCCCAGAGTCATTTGGAAGGCTGCAGCTTAAAGAAGTGTTTGTGGTGGTCTGTGATTTTATTTATGTACACGTGTAAATGACATGACAAAATGTGCATATGCCTGTGGGAGAGCAAATAGATTCATAATGTGGCTCCAACAGGCAATTGGATTTGAGTACACAGGCATGTAGGAAAGTGTGTGACCTGTTGCATAAACATAGTGTGTATTTGATCTACACAGGAACAGGGTAGGACATGTTTCTGTGGAAAGTGTGTGCACAACTTACAGTACATACTTTCTCAAATGTGACAGTATGTGCAATTGAATTAAAGCTAATAGTAATGGAGTCATTGAGACTCACAGATCTTTGACCTCTCTCATTCACACACTTTCATCCTCCTGTTATTCCTCTTCACCCCCCTCCCCTCTCTTCCTGCTCTTATCTCTCACCTGTCTCTTCCACAGGAGGGGTGCCGTCTGTCCTGTTGAGCTCCTCCTGGTGTGTGAGTGTCGGGTGTGTGTGCACCATGGCGAGCCTCCTGCGTGTCGTGGCAGCCAGCTGCTCGGCCCCTGTGTTCAGTGGTGTATCTTGCGTGAAGCTGCAGAGCAGCAGTGGTATCAAATCAACATGCCTTCGCTTTTTCAGGACCCATCAAGCTCTGGGAAGATGTGCCAGCCCAGGTAAGACACCGGCACACACACACACACAGTGATTTGGCATTAGCACACATAATACTTCACAAAAAGCATTTAACGTTTTTATCAACAAATGGTCAAGAAATAGGTTCTTTAAATGTCTACGTTAATGAAATAATAGTTAGTATTTTGGTGCCGACTAGCAAAAGCAGCAAGCAGCAAGAAGGCAGCACAATATTGTTGCAGAGATCTACACTGAGGTTGCATGATCTTGCAAACTATGCTGTGACAAAAGGTCATCCTTAAGAAGCAAAGAGGTTGTGATGGTACATTTAAATCTTTACCAGTCAGCCTTCAGCAAATGAAGCATCTACAAACAAAAATATTAGATTAGACAGATAGATTAGCATCAGCGACTAGCTCGTACAGCTGCTGTGTATGTATGTGGTTAGTGTGATACTGTAGATTGGAAATTTTCCTGCTTGATTGTTCACATGGCTGAAAATTAAAACTATTGTTGAGTTTGCACACATTAGGTGACTGATGCAAGCAAAGATTGCCCTGAGAGCTGAAATGATTTGTCAAATAATTGATTAGTTTTGACAACAAATTAACCATTCATCTTTTTTTAAAAAATCCAAAATGCCAAACATTCTCTGGTTACAGCTTTTTAGTTATGATGATTTGCACCTCTTGTCCGTTTCATATCATTGTGCCGTTAATCTCCTTGAGGATCCGGCTGTTGATCGAACAAAGCAAGCATTTTCACAATTTTCTAGACCAAACAATTATTAATCAACAAAGAAAATCTGTAGTTTAATCAGTCATTAAAAGAAGCATTAGCTGCAGCCCTAATCACCTCTCTGGTTAATTGGTTAATGGGATTTTCCATAGTGGCTTAAAGGGGATGGTGGCACCAGTAGGTCTAAAAACAGCCATGTTGAGCAGATTTTTCTAACTTTGGAGAGAAAATGCTCAGGTACAAAGTCATGTATGTTTGAGCAGTTACATAATCACATTTCTCATGACATAGCTCCTTTTTTATCGGTACACATCACACCAGCGGAGGTGAATGGTACAGACTTGTCTGTATTCAGTTGTGTGTATCTGAAAAGGAAGCAAGATAATAAAGGGATGGGTTAATTCATGGGTATCTGGCTGGTTTTCTTCTTGTGGACTCTAAATTTAAAACACCTGTTATGCAGCAGTTGAGGTTACACGTGGTACTACTGATAGCAACATGAAAACACCAGCTGTGTGCATTCTCATGTGCTTGTCTATCAGGTGCAACATTGCAGGTGGCAGCATACTCATAGTGTAGTAGCTACTGCTCAGCATTAGAGTGGACAGACAACTGGTGAAACAATCAGTCGTTAAGAGTAGAGCACTACCCATTCATATCTGGTTTTACATGCTTATTCCTTTTTAACTCCTCTGTCATCTTATTTGTTATGAAGAATGTAATCGCCTGTGTAGGTGAAGTAGATAAATATAAAACTAAACAGAGGACATCTTTCCTGTTCATCTTGTTAAAAGTTTACTGTAGAGGTCATTGCTGCTACCTGCATTTTCTTTCAGTCCTAAGGTTACATTTAGGACACTGTAGTCCTCAGGCATTAATTATCCATTCCCCATGCCCACACTCTGTACTGCGTAACCTAGAACATGTGCGTGTGTGTGCTTTGAAAGCTAGCACCAGCTGGTTGCAGGTGCTTCATGTCTGTGTGTGCCGGTGTTTCTCTGTATGTGTAGGTGGGTGTTTAAGGGGAACTTGCGACCTGGTTCATGCTGACATTCCTGCAGTTCAGCAAGCACCAGTAACAACTGGCAGCGTCTATTCTGGACGCACAAGTATCAGCTTACAGGCTCGTAGAGGAAGGAAAACACACCACACACTCCGTATAGATGTGGTCATGGTCTGACCTCTGGGGAGTCTATAGGCGCACAGTATAGACTCTCAGGCAGTGTGTCGATATGAGGCCAGGGCTGTCCCGAACATCATTTTACGGGCATTGAAGACTCAGTGAGAGATATCTGCAGTTAATCAAAGCTTTGATTGGGGGCGACATAAGTCCGACTGAACATCACTTTTTAATGAGTCAGTGCAATAAAATAAATAAAAAGAATATATAGCCAGACAGCTGTTACGTGCAGTTTTCAGGTGATTTGCCAAGCTTGTTGTAGATTTGTGATATACCAGTTACCTTTGCCATGTCTGGCACTCAACTTTTTAGGGGTCAACTTTTGAAACTATACCAGATGCTTGACTTTTTCTTGCTAATATATATGTAAGCCTGCCAAGTGTGTTCAAATTGTCCCAGTTTTAGCAGACTGTTGCAGGCACTCCCAACTTAGATGTAGTGGAGATGTTTGTATGTGGGACTAGTGTTGTGACATGAACACAGTAATTATGCTCTTGGTCAGCAGTTGCTACTTAAGTCTGTTTTCACTGTCGAAATTGTGATGCAGCACCCTTACAGGGCGTTTAAACTGAAAACAGGGTGCCACTAGTGTACTTATGGGAGAGTGCATGGTGAGAATCATTTGTACCTGTCTGTGTACAGAATCCTCATTGAAATAAACAAGGGGAGGTGTTTAATGGTCTAATAGTCACACAGTGGATTTTACTTTAGGTGTTTCCTACCTAAACACATTCTGTGTATCATTGGGTTAACAAAAGCGTTGAATGCATTTCCTTATGTAGCATCAGGTGACTCTTACTGTATAGAAATGTAAATGCTGTCTTGTGCTGTGGAGCTTTTTCTATAACAAGTTGTCAGAGGACGGGTCTTCACAGCAGGGTGAGAGGAAAGGCAGCATGTCAAAGGCTCATGTGTTTATGTATAGACAAGGAGACTGAGGGGGAAAAAGCTGTGGTGGAATTTTCCATAGGAGCTGACACAACATGTCACCTGCTCAGACACTAAAAAGACACAAAGTGAACTGACTCAGAATAGTAATAGTTTGATGTCTTTGTATCTCTATTGTCCCACCTTCTTGACTCTGTTTCAGGCTTTTTGTAGTCCCATTAACAATTTCATGCTCATCATTAGATTCCCCTTTATTCTCAGACATGTTGAGTTAGGTCTGTTTTTAATGGCTAAAGTCCAGAACAACATATGAAAGCTTTCTACCCGTATATTGCAAACAACAATGCAGTTTGTTGTTTTGTGTCTGTACCTTACACTCTGACTTTAAGGATCCCCTCCACAAAAAATGTGTTTTCCTTCTGTGCATGTCCCCTTAAATGTCTGACCTTTACTCCACTGACTTGAGTCTGTGCAAAGTTGGTCACTAGAGAGGTGTTTTAACATTCCTGTACTGAAGGGGGCACTGTCTGAGTGCTTCCCTAAAATCTGAGATTCAGATATAGGCTGGTTAGCCAGATAGGTACATCACCAATACATGTAATGTGTATCAACAGGAAACAGATTCAACACAACTCCAGTAAATAAAAAACAAATACAATGACACAGTGAGAGTTAATTTTCCAAATAATTTTAGTATTTTCAGGATGAAGGGCTCACAGTGTTACATAACAATTCCATCGTGTGAAGACAGGTTTTTAGATACATTCAGTCAGACATCCTAAATACACTCACACAAGTGCAAGATAATACAAAAATATATCAGATATAAAGGACATTTGATATAACATGATATACAGTGGTTAAATATGGCTGAAATATTATAGGGTTCAAAGAAAAAGACAGTGATATTATTTCAAAGTAAAGTGAGGAAGTTTTCACAACAAACATAGACTGTGCTGTTTTTGGATGTAAACTGGACCCTGGAGCTTCTTTCCACTAACTACCATAACCCCCATCATAGCAAGTATTCTCATATGTTTCACAACCATTAAGACTGTGAACCACGGCCAGTTAGCCAACAAGCTAACAAGCAACTTAAACAAAAAAAAGATGCTAACTACACTTACCATACTGATTTGTCTACCAGTTGCCGATTGCGGTTCACAACATACTCCTCATCTGAGTCAATGTCTGGCTGAATTTCAAACATGTTTGACTGAAACACTCTGAGGTTTCCTGTAATGCTAAGATTGGCCATCTTGATGCACGCTGCTCTTTCACAGGTCAAACTGGCATGAGCAGTAGGGATGTCACGATTATAGATTTTCTTGGTACGATTATTGTCAGAGAAATAATCACGGTTTTACGATTCTCACAATTATTATGCATTAATTAATTTCACACTATAAATGTGTAAAATCACATGAACACTCCTTATAGATCTTTAAGTTTCATTTATTTCCATGTGCTCCTGCTTTTTCTTTTATCTCTCAACACAACAGTGATGGTTACAAGTACGTGTGGTGACTATTTTGTTCTTGTATGAAAATATAGTAGCCGTACAACCAGGCTTGGTAAAGTGTTTTTAAGTTGATGTAAAAATAAACGACGAGCATTTGTGAAATCCCACACTCGTGTGGACGTGAGTTTCTGCCTGTCGTCTCACTCCAAAGAGCTACACGGACCCAAAACCATTACAACCTCACGCTGTGTGCACACAAACTGCAAAACTATCCGTCAAAAAAAGTTTTTGAGATGTGCCTTAGCTTGTCACGTTGCACTGTAAGCCCAAATCGTATCATACCACTACGCCATTAATTGCAAATGACACGCTAACATGGAATTTTTAATTCAATGTTATATTAGATAAATTGAGATTGACGTATTTTAACCCAGTTATTGTGCATTTACCTTTACTTGCGCATGTAAAGCCAGGTGGTTGTCCCGCAGATGTTGTATCATGTTGCTCGAGTTCGATCCTTTGGCCAAGACTTTTTTGCGGCATGTTTTACAAACTGGAAAGCCGTCGTCAACAATGACCCCTTGGTCATTTTTACGATAGTCATTTTGCCATAGCCAATATGATCGCACACAGCTCACTT